ATGGTATGACCTTATGTATTTGTACAATATATCCTCTCTCCCACCAGGTTATAATGTAATTATTAATATTAGCATAAAGGAAATGGTTGCACCGCTACAGATGTGCGTATGGAGTGGGACAATCACAGGGACCTAAATGGGCTCAGTTCAGATACTAGTCCACATTTAGGTATGGGAGGATTTCCTTTCTTCATCCCCACCATGTCATGAGGGCTCCAAGGCCTACCTACCTTCTTTGGGCAGTTAAAGGGAGGTTACGACATGGAGAAGTAGACAAAATCTGCCAAGGTCTGAATCATTTCTGCAAGGTGGTCACCAAGCCAAGTACTGGCTGCTGTCAAAGGATGTTCTCCCTGGGTTGCTGACAGGAGGTGGAGCATTGATGCAAGCCCTAGGCCCAGGCAGTGGACATTGCCCACTCTAGTGGCAGCTGGCTATCTGCAGAGCCAACTCAGCTTCCACAGCTCCTTAACTTTCAAATAATTCTCTTCTCAATGACCTTGGAAGCCCTATAGTCTTCCTCATTATTGGGTAGTCCCATTGATCTCTCTGCTTTCAGGCCTTTCTCCATCCCGCTCTTTTCTCCCCACACCTGGAGGGAACTTTTTTAATGTTGGAAGGAACTCCACTCTCCTCAAATCTACTTTCTCTCTAACATTTTTGGCTATATTCCAAGTCCTTCTATTCTGCTTAAGGCTAGGCTTTTGAAAACAAAGATGGGGACTCTTCCTATATATTTTTCCTATAGTTGTGTTCCTGGTAAGATTTGTAAGCATAGTAAATATTAACAAGCTCGCTGAAAATATGACCGTGCATTGAGCACATACCTCACCCAGTGGTTGCTGTGAGCTAGGCTGACGCCATGGCACTCACTCTAGCCTGGGCAACAAAGCGAGACTCTGTCTCAAAAAAAAACAAAAAACAAAAAAAAAAAAACACCATACATCTTTACAAAAACAATGAAATAAATTTTAATCATTTCATATTAATGTTCTTGATTCCTTTTCTACCATTCTGTTTAAATATGCATGGATAATAGTGTGTAATAAGGAAGCACAGGCTGAATAAGAATCAGGGGTCCTCCTGATTCTCTGTTTTGAGGTATGGATTTTCACAGGAAAGCTTGAATAGGTAGGCCAATGCTCTCAAATGGCCTCATTGGGAACTAATATCCTACGTGGAGGGTAAAACATCGTCAGTGCTATTGGAAAAGAAGTAAATAATAATCGCCCAAAAACTATGTATTTTAAGGTGTGAGCCTCACAAAGGAAGATTTTCTCCTCAAATAGAGGAGAAAAAAATGATAAAAGGCCAAACAAATTCTGCTTGTGAATAAATGATTCTTTAATAAATTGTTTTCCTTTTATCTAATATAGTATTATAACAAGATGCATTGTTCTATATGACAGGCTGGGGCTCAGGTGTCAAAAAGGGAGTAAAATTATTTATATTTTAGGACATGTGAAGCACAAAAAGATAAGGTTCTTTCTCTAATCTTTTAATTTTGGACATTTTCTTTGGTATTTTAATCATATTCTGCTGCTATCCTTAGCATAAAAGATAAAAAAAAATACATTTGCAGAACTATTCACTGTCTTGTCCAAATTCTGTTATCATTAGTGCTCTCAGCTGGAGTGTCATTCACCGCTTCATGATGAGCACATTAAACAGGAACGAGTCTTTAAAATTACTTTCACTGAAAGCCGGTTTTTCTTCTCGCTCTGTTCCACCCCAACCCTATTTAATAAACAAGAAGCCAGACTTCTTAAAAACTGACTTTATTCCACATAATGTCCCTGGTTAGAAGATAGTTCTTTTAATTTTTATTTTCAGTAAGAGCTTTTACCACAAGCTCAAGCAACTTTTTTTTTCTTTCAATAATATGTGTAATAGACACATTGTGTTGAGTGATTTGAAAAGTTCAAATCAAAGGCATAGTATGTAATTAACTGCCCAGAGAACCATTTCACTGTGGGAATCACTTAAGTGCTTCTAGTGGGTTTTGTGATACCTAAGGGAGATGATACTGTGCTTTTAATCAGGCAAACCAAAAAGCTAACACATTTTAATGACTTAGCAGCCCCACTCCTATAAGGACTCCAGATGTTCAAAGCTCTCAAGAGCAACTCTAGAAATCCTTATCAAGTTCTGTAGGCACAAGGGATCATTATGTAAGGTTAGCCTTTGAAAAATACCTGTGTGGTTTTCTTTTTCTTTTTGAGACTGTTAAAGGTAGAGGGTATTTTGTTTTGCTTTGCTTACTTTAAAATAAGTAAAAAATGCATTGAAACTTGAGACATATTTGGAATATAGGTAATTTGGAAGTATCTCTTCTCTCCTTTTAAACTAGCTAGTGGGTAGGAAGAACATTGTGCTTTTATAATAAATTTGATTAAAAGCCCCCTTCAGGAATATAAAGAAAGCTTTAGATTTTTCTCCAGAAAAGGGATATGTACAGTCATCTCTTGGTATTCTTGGGGAATTGGTTCTAGGAGCCAAAATGCACAAATGCTCAAATCTCTCATATAAAATGGTGTAGTATTTCCATATAACCCACACTCATCCTCCTATATACTTTAGATCATCTCTAGATTACTTATCAAACTGTCTACAATGTAAATGCTATGTAAATAATTGTTGTTATACTGTATTGTTGAGAGAATAATTACAAGCAAATGTCTGTATGTGTTCAGTACAGACATAACCAACCATGTTTTTACCTCAAATATTTTTGG